GCACCCCTGCAGCCCCCAGCTGCACCATGTAGAGTTGCCTAAGCCAGTCCCTAGCCTGCAAAATGCACAAAGCTGGCAGACCACAAGACAGAGGGGTAAATGAGAAACAGGGTGATCAGAGGTTAGATGTGACTCAGACATGGGTGGAAAGTAAAGGTGAAACAGCATGTCATCATAGGCCATACAGTACTCTGAAAGCTGCTGTCATTTACCGCATTCCATAAATTTACTAGAATTTATTGTCTATTGTTTGGGTGGAAATAATTACACATTTCAATTTAAAAATATAAAGAGAATATTATACATTTAGCAGAATTTTCTCAGTGCCTACTGGTACTTCAGACCCTATACAGAGAGAATTCTATATTTTCTTAACTAAAATATTATGGTCTAGAGAGAAAGACAAAGAGAGTCAATTGAAAATGTCAATAATTCTAAGTTCATTCTCATAAAAGAAAATTCTGGAGAAGGCCAAGGGCAATATTATGAAAAAGCAAAATAAGAAGACTCAAATTTTCAGATAAATATGTTTGATAAGATAGTAGAGACAGATGCGCTAGGAAACGGATTAAAGAATGTGAATATGATTATTGTTCTAAAATTGTTTTTAATATTCAGTGACAGGTAAAGGTTTAATTTTGTTCTAAACAATGTGATTTTTTTATTTTTAGTAAGAATTTTACTTTGGGAAATCAAAGAACTAGTAGATAGGTCTACTAATATAATAAATCCAATCTGTTACACAGTTGTACAGGAAGAAACATAGTAAATATAGGGTTTGGTACCACTTTTGGTTTCAGCCATACGTTGGGGGATTTGAAACATATTGCCTATTGATGGGGAGGGATGACCGTACATGTGAGACATCCAGAAAAAATGCATAAATCTCAAAGAGGTAGTCTAAAATTCAGGCTTGGATACCATCTTCAATGGCAAAGGAAGAAAGGGAGAGGAGAAGACAAGAGTAAGGTTTCTTACGCAGATTATTAAGTTGGTGACTTCTCAAGAAACAGAGTCTCCAGAGACTCTGTCCTTCTCATCCTAGTAAGGAGAGGGAGACACCCTTACAAATGGAGATTTCCTTGGTAGATATAAATTTCCCTTACAAAAAGGTGACTTCCGCTCTGTTTTTAGAGCTTGTCCTATGTCTACTGTTTCTCAAAATAATCAGCTCAAAATAATACTTATGCTAACGTGGCATATTTTGGGATGGTATATTCTGGTCTCATACACTCTCAAGGTGGAATTTTCCCTTGTTTGGTTTATAATGTTGGAGCATGAGTATCCTTTAGTAGGGCTTGTTTTTATCTAGAGGTGTCAATGTCAGAATGATCTTCTACATACTCTGGTTGAAATTTCAGAATTGTTATGAGCTTGGGTTTGATATCTATATTAATTTATCTTATTCTGGATCACAAGAGCATTGCAGGGGTTTAGATTTATCTCATTTTTCCCCATTTTTGAAATCTGTTTCCATTTCTCAGTTTTTCTTTCCAGACCTGAGGTGCCCAGCTCACATGAAGCAGAGCCTCTTTCCCTCCCACAGTCATCTCAAGATCACCAGAGCATCAGCTAATGCCTTACTTTCTGGGTTTATCTACGCCTGTATTTAAAGATGTTGCTTCTACATTTTCACTTGTCCTTGGAAATTATCTTTTTTTTTATTTTTTGCAAGCTCATTGAAAATTTTTAATTCCTTAAATTTTATTTAGTAATTTTAGTGGGAGGCATTTCTTATTATGTTAGGCTTCCATCTTGCAGGTCCCAGAACTTTCTGACACTGTGAAGGCCATACCAGCCCACAACTGCCGGGATCTATTGTATGTGGGAGGAAAATCAACTTCTACCCTGTAAAGTCATTGTGATTATTTTGTGTCTTCTGTCAGACACAGTAAAAATTAATTCTATTACACCTTTGACTATCTAGAGAATAAAAGACTAAGAGACACATATTAATATTTTAAAAATAACTAAACAATAACCATCTTTTCCAAAGAAAAGCATTTTGAAATGGGTGGTAGAACAGAGAGAAGGAAGAATCCTTTCACACTAAGGATGTCATTGCCATTGGAATATGTGGCTTTAGAAACCACAAATGGCTCGATTAGCTTTCAAAATCTTTCTACTTTTTAGAATTTTTCTACATCACTAGAAACATATCTCTTCTATTTAATCTCAATGTGAAAACCTGTTTCATAGTACTTATAATAAATGCATTCTCAAATTTTACA